TTTGGTGTGGTGGCTTTAGCGCTTTAGCGCTTTGGTTCCTCAAGGTGATTTGCAAGTCCGGATAGAAACCGAGAGGCTCACACTCGGCCCCGCAATGAAATGAACCAGTCCATTGGTTTGGCGTCGATCGGCAAGAAGCAAGGACGGCTTCATCGTGTGTCCAATCCAGAAGGGTCGGTGTCGCCATAAGGGCGCTTGCTGTTTTCCCTTTGAACAGAATGGCACCTGGGAGTTAGGTAGAGAAGTTTTTGACACCCAGTAGTGCATGTTCTTTTGTTCGCTTCTTTTTTGGACGGGGGTCCCTTAAAAATCAATTGCCCGCAAATGTCCCATGGAACTCCCCTTTTTGAGGGAGAGCCTAGTCCAACTTGATCCAAGCCGAGGGTTCGGGAATCATGACCCAAAAAGTGAGATCCGCCAAAGGGTTTCCGCATGAAAATTGAGGCCGTGAATCCAAGGGCTTTCTTTTCTCTTCGGGTCACTGGCTGCAGGGGGTACAGGAACAGCTACAGATGACTTGACAAGGGTTCACGTATCGTACAAGTCCACACTTTCAACCGTTCAGAATCTGCGTGTGCGCAATTTGTTTAGGGGCAGGAGGTTGTTCATTATCGCACTCGCAACCATATCGAAATATATCGAATCTACCAGTTGACATGTTGTTTGTTCATCCAAATTTAGTCAACATTCCAGAAGCTGAGCCTGTTGTTTGCAGGTTGACTTGCAGGTTTGGTAATACGGGTTGCCATTGCCTGATCTATCAGTGGATCGGTCTTTGGAAGCTTATGTTGCGATCTTTGTTGCATGGGGCCGTTGGTCCGCATATAATAATTCAAGGCTTAACCAGGGAGGGCCAAAACTTGGGAGCTTCTTTTGGTTGTACAAAGAGACACCAACCATTGTTCTCGGCAGATTGTGGCGGCCTCAGAAAGGGGATGTGAGACACCCGCATTGAGTATTTCTTAGGGAACCTTCAGTTGGGGCGGACCGAGGTCGGCGAATCCTTCTCATTCAAACAAAATAGTTTGGGATGACATGCCAGAAAATCAAAAGTTTCTTGCTTGGCGGGTTTTGGGATTGCTACGGTGGCTGCCGCCTGAGGGACCCAAATTGCCGTGCTTTGCACTGCTTGGGTATGGGTGGCATTCGCCAATTGAGCCACAATGAAAACCTGGGTAGATGAAGGTTAGTAGGGGCAGTCCCAGCCAGAAATAGCTGCGGCCGCCTTCTTAATTCTTTACATGGTTCTGGGTAGACCATTTTAATACCGGGTTTTGATTATGACTCAATTGGGGCATCCACCGTAGCTCAGGCAAAATTGTTTGTGGCTTCCCAAATTTCTGGAGACTCCAGGCGCCGCTCTTCCCGTGGCAGCATGGATGCCTGAGGGAAGGGGGGCGAAGAGCAGGTTCCGTGCGTCTCAACATTGTGTGCCCCCCAAGAAACAGTAAGCTTTATTCTTGTTGTGTCATCCAGATTTTTCAGACACCGCCCAGGTAACCAGGAGTCAGACGCCACATGCCTCGAATCGTACGTACACCTAGTTTTTGTTGTACCGCGCTGTTCAAAGGGTTGCTTTCCATTCACCATGCGATTCGTTTGCGTTTTGCACGCCAAATGAGTAATAGCATCACACGGACGAAATCGTAGCGTCGTGCGCACCAGGACCACCAGGATTTTGACTGTTTGCAATGGTTTTTCAGACTACCGGGGTTTTATCTTGTGGAACCCAGAATGGTTGAATGATGGAATGATGAGGAGCAGTGGGAGATGGTTAAACGTAATGGGGATTAATGGCCTTTATTCTCTTTGTATTGTGAGTGTTTGCAAGTGCCCCAGGCAAGTCTTAATTGGAGTAAAATCTGAAGCCGGGCGTGAATCTCAGGCCCAGAACCAGAGTCGGCCATTATAGACATTTCTACTCATTTACTTGTGCGATAAAGACCCTTACAATCTCTTTGTGTCGCATGCGCGGGGTCTGCGCTTGCTTCGCTTGAAGCTGATGCCTGAAAATCTTTGGCTTGAAGAATTGGCCTTCACCGCCATCCACTGAACTATATTCACACTCCCACTGAAGGGGACCCCTCAAACACCCCACCCCCCCACCCCCCAAACACATGCTCTTAGGAAAGACCAACATAGGCCATTTTTGCTGGTGTGTTTGGGTGGTGGTGGTGTGTTTGGGGGGGTAGGCAAAAAGCTCAATGACATACCTGCAGCGGGATTCTCCGTTCTCTTCCAGTGGTGGCTCCCTGAAAAAGGAGGACAAAAGGTTTCCCTTGAGGTTTTTCCCAGCGAGCCCCGAGAGGCCCGGGGTGTGCAAACGCTCGGCACGGAAGGTCTTGGGTTCCCAAAAAGCGGTTGGCCATAGGCTCAAAACGCATCGCCAGGGCGACCTTCTTGGGCTTAACGTCGGCCTTCGTGGGCTTTGCGGGGTTTTCCGGAAACCGAAAAGACACCACCTGGTTGGCCCCCGGCAAAAGAAAAGCGAAATGCACCCATATGTTGGAGAGTCCTTTTTGTTTGGGAGGGACCCTGATTTTGGTTGGTTTTACAGGAAGACCAAAAGGACACGAACCATTTTGGGGGGGCCCTAAACAAAGACACCCGTATACCACCTGACCCCATTCACGTAAGCGCGATGGGCGGCATGGGGTCTGAGCGTCTACATCACGGGAATCACACGCGACCTCACTGACCAACATCCACACGTGTTTGTTCCTTTTGGTCCCAAAGTTACCCCAAAAACGGTACCTCCAAAAAGACCACACCCATGGAGCTTTCTCAAAACGGATTTCGAAGCCTGGATGCTAAAGGGAATCCACAAGGAAACAGCCATAGGGGTCCCCGATCTTACACTCTGAGTCTGCAGGATGTGTTCTTCTCCCTTTCCCACCTGTTTTCCTGTCTCTCGTCTTGTGATACCCGTGGCCATGGGCCGTTCTGGATAGGGCGGCCCATGGCCACGGGTTTGGAAACCACCCATTTCAGCCTTTCAGCCCCAAAATTTGTGCGAGTTTCCTGTATCGGCTTGGTGCTGACCCTCCAAATGGTTTCCCATGGGTCCCCCATTTCCCTTCGTTTCCCTCAGCCTCAAAACAGAGCTCAGGTTCCTTCCCCTCCGGACCGTCAGGGAGCCAAGCGAGGGATCGGTTCAAAGGGCGCACTGAAGGCGCCGCTCGGTTCGGAGTTGGCACCTGTTTCGGGGGTGGTTCAAAAGGAAACCACCGATTTTGATAGGTTGCCCCCAATTTTGAGAGACAAAGCAAGGTCTGGTTGTTTCTTTGGCAAGCGGAGACTGGTTGGCTGTTCTTGTTCCATTTGAACATGCGTTCTGTTGCACTTGTTCAGATCGGGGAACCATTATTTTCCGGTGCGCAGGAACTCCGATGCACTTTCCATGATTGGGCTGCAGTTTGATAATCATGCTGCAACATTGAGCGCCATGTATGCAAGATACCTGGTTGATTGACCACATATCAAAGCTGCCAAATGCTGTTGACCAGCAGGCTGGTGATGAATAGCTTGGGGAATGTAAGACCAGACAAACCAGTCGTTTGGCTCAGCATGGGTTTGCCACTTCATATGGGAAGCTTGGATTCCACGTCAAGTGCCTGCATGCACAATGCAACTGCCAGCGCTAGATGAATCAACTCAACAGGGAGACATGCACATCGACTCACTTGCTATTGCTGCATGTTGTTGCAGGTTTTGTGTTGCTTGCCACTAGCAAAGCCATGATAGCCATTCCAGCATATGGATGAAGATGATTGGTCTTGATTCGTTTGGCTTGTTTCGAGAGTCATCCCCTTGCCACCAACCGTGCACTGCTTCCTTTTGAGGAGGGTCCCATGCTTTTCACAGATCGTTCTTTGCACAGACCAGTGTTTCCTGCGCTTTTTTGGGGAGAAACGGGAAGCTACCCCGAGAGAGCCAGGCTGTTAAAAGTATGGCCACTCACTCCTTCTTAAAAATCTACTAAAAATAACAGGGGCCCAAGAAGTACTCATTGGACGTCTCTCCTCAATGCAGCATGCTTTGCTAACCCGAGGCGTCAATCTCGCACGGTGCCGCCCTGCCCGACGGATTCATTGCCGGTGTCAGAGTCAGGTTGGAGTTGGCCAAAAAAGCTCTCCTTTTTGGGACCCTTTCCGACTTTTTCTTTCCAAGCGAACAATAAGTGACACGGGTAACGTTTCCTTTCATGGCTCCTGGACTTTTTGTAGGAGTTGTTCCCCTAAAGTTCACTAAAAAGGTGCAACTTTGTGTTGGCCGCTGGAAGTCTGTGCTTTGGATTCGTGCGGTTCCTGCTGCACTTTTTGGTGGACAGGCTGTTGAGCTGACCTGGGTGCCCTTGGTTCCCTGTTCGGAGCCCCCAAAAGGCGGGTTCTCCCTTTGGCGGTTCGAAGTTCTTTGAAGCAACCTCAAAACACTCAAAAACGGACTGAAAAGCCGTGCCGCACAACTGAACACTTTTCGCCCTCCATGCGCCATAAACTGTTGCTGCCATGTGTTCAGGTTGGCTAGGGACACCAAAGAAAGTCGTCCATTTCGGGACCCGGTGGCTCTATCACCTGCAAGTTCATCAACTTTTGCAGGGTGACTGGGGGCCCCTGTCTTTTTGACGTGCAGGTTTCTCCCGGCTTCTCTGCGCCTTGTTTTTGGTTCGCCTGTGCCCTGGCCCTGGAGTGTGGGACACGGAGAACCTTCCGGGCAAGCGCCGTGTGCTTCGCGCGAGCATCTGGGCTCGATGCCCTGGACGGGGGTTGTGTAGTAACTGGACCTGAGTCTTTCGGAGCAATTAGAAGCTCTGGTGTTGGTCGGACTCGCTGAGTTCCGGGACTTTATAGTTACCACGCGGCAAGCGACAAGTTTGGACCCAGTTTGGCCAATCAGGACTTGGGCGCGCCGTTTGTTAGGAGACCCACCTAAGTGCTTGTTTCCTTGTGGTTTCCCTTTAACCCCCCAACGAAAAACAAAGGGAGCCTTAAAAAAGCAGACGAGCGCAAGCACGCTCCAGTGAACATGGTTCGCAAAGCTATGGCTATCCTGGAGTGATCTTCTGTCGCTATGGGTTTCCTCGAGGAGGCGGGCATCAAGGGCCTCCATTGATGGCATGGGCTGCCGGCTGCCTTGCTTGATTCGGCATGTCATGGGTTTGTTTTGGATACCCCCCCCCTCAGACCCCCTTTTCTGAGTGATTCCAGTGGCTAAGTGTTCAATCATTGGTCTTTTCAAACACCAGCCAAGTTCTCTCCTTGAGGTTTCAAGGTGGTTTTTCGATCACACAAACCTTCTTTTTACTCAAAGGAAAGAAGGATCCCTGGAAAGAATGGGGAAGTTAACCCTCTTGCGAATGGGACATGGAACTGATAAACGCCCACATGCCAGTCAAGTTTTGGTTTGCAGGCCATTTTTTGTTTTGCAGGAACCAATGGATCTGAAGCAGCCAAATCATGTATCGAGATCAGCATCTCGCTTCCAGGGGCACTGCTTGTGTGGGAGAGAATTTCAGGTCTTGGAATGATTCAGGCGTAGTTGATTCTCACGGTGTGAGTTTTTGGCGTTTGGTTCGCTAGCTTCTAGACAGGTTGAACCACTTCGGCTTCGGCTACTCTTGTGTCCCCGTGCAATGAGGCTAGCGTCGAGGCAAGGAGGATTCGCAAGCGCAGATCCTGAAAAGAAGAATACAGTTGACAAAGGGCGGGCAATACAGTTGCCTGCTTTTTGTTTGGCACGAGCTGTGGACACTTGGCTTGCGCAGGAGTTGGTGAGTTTTTGGGTACCTGGAGTCCGCGGGAAATGTACACTCAGTGCTTCCATCATTCAATCTTACTTGCTGGTTACAGTCAACAATACCAGTGAGTCCCCTCCATAGTGAGGCACTGTAGTTGGAATGGAGCTATTGCCAACAACTCTGAGCGTTTGTGTCGCAGAAAGGACCCACTTAACACTTGCACTGGTGTTGCGTTCGGAAGTGAATGCAAGACTGAGCCCCACACACTTTCAAATGCGGAGAAAGAGAAGACCCGCGAACTAGCTCAGGTGAGGCAAAATCTCAATACAACCATATCAAGATGTGTGTGTAGGTTCTTTTTGTTTAATTGTGGGCAGGGGAGAGAGGAATCCATCCTTTGAGCCATACCAAGGACAGTTCGCAACTGAGGCACTGGGTACAGCGCGCGTTGTTTTAGACGAGCCTTCTATAGTTAGCGTCTTGCGGGAGCTGTTTGCCACCCGATTGAACCTTTTCAGGAGTGGAAATGGGGGTGTCTGTTTTTAGGGAACCCCCGAAATGTTAGTTTTCCTGTTGGTTTCCCTTCAACCCCTTTCTCTACCAGCGTCACTGAACAATTGAGTATGGGATCTCTTTCCATGTGTTGCGATTGTTGGAAGTACTCAGCAGAGAGACCCATTGGGTTGCAAGCCAAAGTTGTTTAAACCATTTTCTTTGGAACTTTCCGACTTAACATCAACCAAACAAATGGGGCAGATCCATTCCTTTGTCCCACGGAACTGCGAGCGAGTTTTGGATGAACCCTTGCACCTTTTGCAGGCTACGCCCATGCCATGGGGCGAGAGTACGCATCACCATGAAGCCCTGAAGGCGCCCAGCCCCGCGGGGCTTTTTCCTGGACTTTATACTGTTTGGGACTGGACCGTGTTTGTGGGAAATAGACGGAAATAGAAAGTTTGGACTTGTTGTTTTGGGCCATCCACTCGGAAAGTGAGTTTGAAACTGTCACTCAGAAGCCTGGTCCTTTTGTTTTTGTTTACAGGAGTTATACCAAGGGAATCCTCTGAGTGACAAAGTAGTCATAGCGATGCTGCTTCACTTTGGTATCACGGACAGGTCCAAAGCATTAAGATAAACTAAGAGGAAGCCGGTTGCCATTTTTCGGGGTGCCAGTAATTCTGAAACGTTCCGATTTCCTCATTTCTTTGCTTCAACAGATTAGGCCGTGAAGGGAACTGCTGTGCATTGGTCTCCTCTTTCTAGCCCCGTTGGCCTCTGCCTCCTTATTCCGATGGGACTGAACCCCTTCTCGAGACGCCTTGAGGACGCGGACGTCGCTTCGCATGAAAGCATCATGCTTGATGGTGCCTGTTTCAGGTGCCCAAAGGAATTCAAAATAGGATCCAAGTGTGCAGAATGTTAGTTTCCTTTCCTTTGGTTTCCCTTACCTCACTTGGCCAATCAGATCTTTGAAGCAGCCCAATCGCCCTTTCGTGGACCCTCGGACTGAAATCTGCAAGGAGCGTCCAAAAACAGGGGGGTAAAGCAACCCCGGACACGCTTTTCCTCCCAACAAAATTCTGAATTGCCCCGTTTCACTTTTGAACAACCCACCTTTTCCCCACCCACGTCTCCATAGCCAGGCCGAACTTACAGTTTTCACCTTTTGCCTTTTTGGCTTTTCATCACTTTCCGTTTCAACCAACAAGTCAAGTTGTGCAGGTCCAACGGGCGTGTGGTGTGTTAAAAGATACCCGGTTTGGATGAAGAGAAGGAACGCAGCTTGGAGCAAGCCAGCTTTTCCGAACCTTTCAGAGAACCAACAGACACCCGTGATGAACGTGGAACCCCAAAACCAAGACATGTCTAGTAGGAATCTCCTCTCGGACCCCTTTCTTTGGGGGGGGTGGTTCTATGCTGCCCTCCCACTAATCAAGATGGAACCTGCGTTTCGGGGTACCCTGGTTTGGACATTTTCCTTTTAAAGGGAGCGGGTCCGAAACGTCGGGTTCCATGTCAATTCATTGGTGGGCGGAAAACATCCACCCCTGTCTTTGGCGGGGTTCTATGTGAAAAGTGCAGGGGAGCCAATTTCCACCCCATGAGGCTCGGTTACCTAACCCCAAGACCAGTCCATTTCCCCGGGCCGGGGTTTGTCCGCAGGCCAGTGCGGTGGAGCAGTTCTTGCAGGCAGGGAGAGCCTCAGCAGCTGTTTTTGGGTTGTTTTGAAGGGGAACCAAAAGAAGTCACCATTTGGGGGTCCCCGATTGTTTTGGCATACATGGTTATGTAATTGTACTACGACATAGTGAGAATGGAATTTAAGAATGCACAGTGTTTGGGGCGGAGCTATGATTAATGAACAATTTTAAACAAGCGCAAGGGTGCTTGAGCTTGTCTCAAAGTAGGGAAGAACCCCAAAATGGATGGTATCCTTTTTGTTTCCCTTGAACACCAACCAAGAGGGGACCAGCAAAACGTTACACCCACTTGTGAATAAATGCCTTGCGAAGAAGTGACCAGCTTTGGTTGATTGAAACTCTAAGAGTGACGGTCACGCCAGATTCAGTTCAATTTGGTGGCCCCCCACTACAAGAAGCCTGATTTCAATACACAAGGGCCACACAGAAAGGCCGCTGTCAGGTTTTATCACCACATGCCCTTCATGAGGGTGGTTGTACTTTACTTGGGAGTTCTGCAGAGCAGGCCGACCTCTTTGATCATGCATTTCTTCAGACCACACGGTGTAGAAAAATGGTCAACATGATTTGTGACTGAGGGGGGAAGCCAAGCGCCACATGAGCACTATGACCCAGACCCGCGAGGTGTTTTCCTGTTGCGTTGAGGGTTTCCCCTTTAAAATAAACTACGCTTCAAGACAATTTCCATTGTTCTCCAGACCCCCTGGGGTCTGGATGATGAACATTGAGCGTGGGTCATACGGGCGTTTTCTGATAAGTGCGTTCCAAGAATCGGCGTATGGCTCAAATTCACCCGCAGCAGTATGATCCTTCCACGGCAAGGTGGCTCAGGCGTTGACCCCGAGATCCAGAAAGCACCTAGCAAGAAAGAGAAACACATTTTCAGGTTGATACCAGTGGGAAATACTCAACTGACTTCTGTCATCAAATTGAGAAAAGGAAGTTGGAAGTTTTGAGCCTGCGACAAGTGCTTCGCTTTCACTTCTATTTGAAGCGCAACCTCCATGAAGTCAAGTGCCCTACTGGGGCTTGCACGTGTCTCGTTGGAAGCAGAGGGTATCCCAATTTCCACTGACCGCTGGACTCGTGTGTTGGATCTTGACAACCAAACAGGAAAGAATGCGGTTTTCCTGTTGGTTTCCCTTTGAAACCACTCAAAAACGGGTGCTCTCCAAAAAAGACACCCATTTCTGGCCCCGATCCCCACGTTCATTGGCGCGGATTCCTCTCCAGATCCTTCGAGATCACGAAGCCCGGAAAGACCCGGAGATGCTTTGGGGAGATGAGCAGGATCGCACCGTTCGCGTGGCTCGCGTGGATTTTGTTGGCACGCAGGTGCGAATTTGAATTGGACAAAAGCGCGATTTTTGGTGAGCACATTGGGATCTATGTCCCCCAGTAGTGCTCGTTTACCGTTTCTTTTGTGTGGGAGGGTTCCCCTACTAAAATAGACTACAGAAGAAGGGGTACCCTTGTTCTAACCTCTCTACTGGAGGACCTAGACCTAGGGATTGATGTCCAACCATTTCTTCAACAGTTTCCCATCAAACCTTATAGCCACATCGCGGTTCGTCATGGCTTTGGCCATGCCACATGTGGAGTTGAAGTAAGCCGGGATTCCAGCCAGCTTTAAGATCGCTCACCCGCAAAGGGGGTTATTGCCAAGTGATGACACGGAAGGCCGAAGCTTTCAGTCTGCCGGGAATCATGCGCTTTGTTCTTGATTCGCTGCTTGCAACAAATCACCACGTGGTTGTAGATGGGGTTCACGACCGACTTTCTGTGATACCAAGGGAACCCATTCTCAAGTGACAAAGCAATACCTGGGTCTTCCAACATGTGCAAAATTATTGCTGTTTCGTCAAAAACTATGTCTTTTGACCCAACGGCGATTATTTTCGCCTGCCGGCAGTTTTCAGTGTTTGCACACTCTGGCATCAATCAAAATTGCAAAACGGCGTAATTCGCCGTCAAAACGGCGTAATTTGCCGGCGAAACGGCGTTTTTTTTTTGCCTGGTTCCGAGCTGGACTCACGGCGAGCGCTTTTTCTCCGAAAGAGCGTTTTTTTCAGCAACCGGCGAAAATTATTGCTGTTTTGGGAAACGGCGTTAATTTTACATGTTGGAAGGTCCAGGTATATAGAGATGGCCGCTGCTGGTACTGGTCGCAAGGATGATGTCCCAAGCTGATGTCACAATCACTTTAGGCATCAAATGAGAAGCGGCCAACCCCTTGCTGGGCGCTTTTCCCTGGATCTTAGTCTGTTGCATGCATTATTTCATGCCCGGCACCATTCTTCTTTTCCAGCAAGGCTCGTCCAGATTGCCTTCCAATGTTGGCCGTTCTCTTGCTGCATAGGCCGAAATGACCAATGTCACCCTTTCAGCCAAGGTGTTGTTTGTTGCATGTGTTTGGTGTGCAAAAGCTCACATCTTTCTCAGTGCTGTAGACATCTTCTGAAGCGGTGTAAGGCTTACCAAGTCACCACGCATATTGAACATGCTAATGCCAACCTGGCAAGAATTTGTTCAAGTGCTTGCTGCTGTACAGGGCGAGCTCATGTCATCTTGAAATAGTTCCAAAAGGAAATCAAGCGTCAAACCGTCCTTTCAAGGGGGTCAAGTACAAGTTAAACTTAAGACTGCAATTGAATGCAATTTAATTACCTCAGTTCGTGCCTGGCACGGCCAGGAGTATGCACTGGTGGAAGTGGGCCCTGATACCAGTGATGCTGGGGACTTACAAAAGAAGTGCTAATGATCATGCGGCCCTTGCTGCCACGTATGGAAGGTGTGACAGGCTCGCATTGCTTCTGTGTAGCCTGTAACATGTGTGTGTGTGTGTGTGTTTGTCTGCTTGTTTGTTTGGTTGTTTGTTTGTTTGTTTTTTTGTGTGTGTATTTGTTTTTTTGTGTGTGTGTTTGTTTGTGTTTGCTCGGCTGGCTTGGCTGGCTTGGCTGGCTTGCTTGGCTGGCTTGCTTGCTTGCTTGCTTGGCTGGCTTGCTTGCTGGCTTGCTGGCTTGCTGGCTTGCTTGTTTGCTTGCTTGCTTGCTTGTTCTTTTTTTTTGCATATGTCGTTCACACTGCTTCATATTTCGAATACTCCTGCACATTCAGGCATGTTACTTTGGACACTGGGTCTTTTCCAGCATGATGCGTATTTCTGGACAATTTGCTACCGTTGAAACATAGTCCAAGTAATGTTTGGAGTTGTCTCTACATGGGCGAACCTCCAAAACTATAGTTCCATTTGGTTTACCATCAAACCAAGGTTGGAATTTTGTACCATTAAAACACCCCGCATGTACACATTACCCAGTATGGCACGATGTATACAAAATAATATATATATATACATATTATATATTGATATACATATACATATATATATATACATGTGTATGAATGTAAGCGGTTCTTAAGAAAAGGAAAGAAAACAACGAAATTTGGCTGCTTCGTGTCGGACGCTTATCTACTGTGTTTCGGCTTCCGGCCCAACCTGCCATCCCTGAAAGATTCGAGCTCACCTCTTGAACGGCAAGCTTGTTTTTGGTTGACAGTCTCCTTCATTTCTTTCTTGCCAGACAGTCAACTCTACATGTCAGTTTAGCAACTGACAAAGCAGAAGATTGCCCATGGCTTGCATGTAGATTGGCTGTTTGTTGATCAAAAGCTCGGGCACACAGAATCCACAGGCATGAATGTCCCTCTCCAGGCAGACGCTTGCAAGCACGTTCTTGCCCGGTGAGTTTACAGTTGAATCAAGCATTTGGCAAAAGCTACCAGTCCCCGTTTCACTAAAAGGCACACAATCACCGTTCACTGCAGGGTTTCCCATAACTTGCTTTGCATATAGGTGCCTGGATGCTCTTCCCAAATGCGTGCGGGCTGGAACCAGTCACTCACTGCTGCTCCGCCAAAATGAACGACTCAACAGAGTGTTCGCTTGAGTTTTGCAACCCAAATTGGCCAGTGACTCATTGATTCTGAGGGCGGTTTGGATCAGTCCGAGGTCGCATTGTTTCGCCCTTGTCGCGTTTTTTTCTTCTTCCCCGGGTTCAGTGGGTAAGGAGAATGCAAACACGTCAAAAA